GAGATAATCATTCCAAATGTGTAACTGGAATTCACTTTGACTGGCTGTTTTACTGCTGTACATAACTAATGCCATCTGTTGTGTGCCTGTCTATCTGATCTACTAGTTTATCTTAGAAAATATGGTGTCAATTTCTTACTGCTGCTATCATGTACTTGCTACAGACACCAATTCAGATACTGATACTAGGATTATTTTTGGTTTTTGGGTTTTGGTTTTTGTTGACAGGGTCTCCCTAGTTCCAGACTGCCTGGAAATTACTATGTGGACCAAGCTGGCCTTGATCTCACAGAGATTCACCTGCTTCTGCCTCCCAAGAGCTGGGATTAAAGGTATACTCCACCATGCCTGGCTAGGATTATTAAAGTAGATCTTTAACATCCTATGTAACAAGTACATTTTTCTTTTTTGTGAAAATAAAGTTTGCTTCTCCCCTTTTGGAAATTAGATAATTTTAAAATGGCAGAACTCTTTATGGAATGTGAAGAAGAAGAGCTAGAACCATGGCAGAAGAAAGTGAAGGAAGTTGAAGAGGATGATGATGATGAACCAATCTTTGTTGCAGAGATAGCAAGTTCAAAACCAGCAATTTCAAGTAAGCATTTACTTTTAATGAAGCCAAGTTTTATAAGGTACTATTCTTAAGGAAAAAGTTGTGAATTTTCTTACTGTTGTGAAAATGTCCTATTCCATTGTAATAAGTTAGACGGGAGATGATGTGTGGAAGACCAGTAGGAGCATGAGGGTCAGGACGGGCTCAGCCTGGGGATTTGAGAGGGCATAGACATTAAATATTTATCAGTAGAGCACATAGGTAAATGGACATAGATTTGCAGCTGGCATGGAGGTCTTCTGAAATTAGAAATGATCATATTTAGAAGAACTGTAAAACTGGTTCATCTTTATTGTTTTCTTTTTTCTCATTTAAACCTAGGGTAGACTAAAGGAAATATTTAGCATGCCAAGTTTACAATTTTGGGATATACCAAAAAAGTTTGTGTTGGTATCGAAAGGATGTTCTGACAATCCATGCTTCCTCATAGTGCCTTTTACATATGGCTACACATTAACACAAGACTTGTTTATTGATCAAACAGTCTCTATAGTAGTGGGTTTGCAGCTTCTCATCTCATCCATCTTTCAGCAGCTTCTACTTACATTCCCCTTAGCCCTTGTACTTTTATGTCATCACAGTTAGTACACTTAAATCTTAGAACAGCTTTTGGATAATTAGCTTTTAGTTTGAGTACTTGGACTTAACATTGTGATATTGTTAAGGTAAAGACACTTAATACTTGTTAAAATGTCTACTCAAAAACATCTAACCTGCAAATTTCAAAGATAAAGAGAAAAGATTTTTTCTTATTTTAGTTACATGTTTATTTTAAACCAGAATAATTTATCAAAGAATGCTCTTCCTTGTGCTGAGTAGCTTCATCTGTCCACTTGGCACACCTGGGTAGAAGGAATCTCAATTCAGAAATTTCCTCCATTGGCTTGGCCTGTGGCCATGTCTGTGGAGCATTTTCTGGATAGTTCAGTGATATGGGAGGGCTCATCCCAATGTAGGTGGTGCCATCCTCAGGCAGGTGGTCCTGAGTTTTATAAGAAAGCAACCTGAGCACAGGTCGGTCAGAAGAGCAAACCAGTAAGCAGTGTTCCCCCTTGGTCTGTACTTCAGCTCCTGTGCCCAGGTTCCTGCCCTTAGTTCCTACCCTGATTTCCCTCAGTGATGAACCAGGGAGATGTAAGATAAAATAATTATCACAGCAACAGAAACCAAACTAGGATGCCAGTATATTTCTTATTGGCTATGGTTAAAAACATGTCTATTTAAAAAATTTCTGGACTGTGCCTTGACTCCCCCAGCCTTGTTTACCCTCTCAGTTACCCCACCCTGTCTCTCCTTTTAGCGTGGGCACTGGCCCATTTCTTCTCTTGGCATCCCAGACCTCTGGACTGCCCTCTTGGCCCAGGCTCCCCTCTACTTCATGATCCTTTACACCCAGACCAACCCAATTCCTCCCTCTAGTCCCCTGGAGCCATCAGGGCCTGTTCCCTCCCTCACCTCACCTTTGCAATTCCGGGCGGCCCAGCCCCCAGCTTCCTGGGGCCAGCTTCTTTCCTGGGTAAGTTTGGTTGTGCCCACTGCGCCTTAACTCCCCCAGCCTCATTCACCCTCCCAGCTCCCCCACCCCGTCTCTCCTAGGATGGGCACTGGCCCATTTCTTCTCTTGGCACCCCAGACGCCTGGACTGCCATCTTGGCCCAGACTCCCTACTGCTTCCTGACACATTGCACCCACACCAACCTAATTCCTCCCACTAATCCCTGGGACCCCACTGTGGGCCTATTCCCGCCCCACCTCACTTTTGCATGACTGAGACAGGCCCTCATCCCAGGCCATCCTAGTGCCTGACTTCCTGAGGCCAGCATCTTTCCTGGAGGGATCCAGACCTTAGGAGAAAACCTGAGAACATCTGAACCTCATCCAACTTGGGTCTCTGTGGGAACTCCTGAGTAGCAGGATGAAAGCCATCTGGCCTCTCCAATATAAAATCAAAGGAGAGAACCTAAAGCCTAGACCAACCAGCTTTTCATGCCACAAAGGTACATAAAGTTTACAAAAAGAAGCAGACCTAAATTACTCAACAAAGGAAGGCTTGAGTATCACAAAGAATCAGAAACTACAAAAGAAATTCACATGTCAAAGGTACAGCAGAAAAATAATAACATGAAAAACCCAAATAATATAGCCCCACCAAGTATCAACAGTCCTGTAGAGGAGTACAGTAAGAATCCCCTAGAGATAACACAGGACATGGAATTCAAAAGAACAATTATAAACATGATAAAAGAATCAGTGAATTTAAAGAACACATAAATCAAAGAACTGAAAGAAGATGGGGACAGAATTCTGAATGAATTCAGAAAAGAGTTAGAAATATTGAAGACTACTTGGGCTGACATGAAAAAGGAAGTGAAACATTCAATAAGCCAATTAGAAACGACAGGAAAAAGCCTCAACAATAGGATGAATGAAATGGAAAACAGAATATCAAGACTGGAAGATAAAGTGGACAAATTAGACCACTCAAGCAAAAATTATGAAAAATTTAAGAACACACAGGAATAGAATATGCAGGAATTGTGTGACACCATAAAAAAACCAAACTTACTCATCATAGGCATATAAGAAGGAGAAGAATCTCTGGTTAATGGTATGGACCAGATCTTCAACAGCATTGTAGAAGAAAATTTCCCAAAATTAAAGAAAGACATGCCCATACAAATACAAGAAACACATAGAACATCAAAGAGACAGGACCAGTAAAGGAACTCTCTACGGCACATCATAGTAAAAACACTAAACATATAGAACAAAGAGAGAATTCTGAAAGTTGCAAAAGAAAAACAAGTCACATATAAAGGAAAATCCATTAGGATTACAGCTGACTTTTCAATACAAACTATGAAAGCCAGAAGAGCCTAGACCAAAGTATTCCTAATTCTAAATGACCACAGATTCCAACTCAGACTGCTTTACCCGCCAAAATGTCTATTATAGTCAAGGGGGAAAGAAAAATCTTCCATGATATAAATAAGCTGAAAGAATTCACGTCCACAAAACTAGCCCTTCAGAGTGTTCTTGAAGCAATACAAAGAGCTGAAGAAAGGGAACGACTATACACAAAGGGTGATGGAAAGAAATTCAATGAAAGTATAACTGTGGAAAGGTACAGCTATACCAAGAATGTGAACAGAAATCAAAACGACAGGAATCAATACATATCTTTCATTAATAACTTTAAGTATCAGTGAACTGAACTCCCCAGTCAAAAGACACAGACTAGTTGAATGGATTAAGAAACAAAGCACATCTTTTTGTTGTCTGCAAGAAACCCTTCTCACTTTCAAGGACAGGCATTACCTTAAGGTGAAAGGATAGAAAAAAAATATTCCAAGCAAATGTTACTAAGAAAATAGCAAGAGTTGCAATTCTAATATCTGACAAAATGACTTCAAACTAAAACTAATCAGAAGAGATAAAGAGGGCCACTTCATTCTGATCAAAGGAACAATTGACCAAGAAGATACTATAATCATGAACATATATTCACCAGACTGTAGTGTACCCAATTTCAAAAAAACAGTACTACAGGACTTTAAGACCCAGATTAATCCCAACTCATTAATAGTAGGGAACTTCAGTACCCCATTCTCTCCATTAGATAGGTCAACAGGACAGAGAATTAACAGAGAGATATCTGAATTAAACAATACTATACATCAAATGGGTCTAACAGACATTACCAAATATTCCATCCAAGCACCTAAGAATATCCTTTCTATTCAGCTCCCCATGAAACATTCTCCAAAATTGACCACATACTGGGACATAAAACAAGCCTCAACAAATACAAAAAGATTGAAATAACTCCATGGATTCTATCAGACCATACTTCAATAAAACTTAAAATCAACACTGGAAGAAACCCTAGTAATTACATGAACACATGATGTATTAGTCACTTTTCTGTTGCTGTGATAGAAACACTGACCAAAGCAATATATAGAAGGAAGAGTTTATTTGAGCTTATGGTTCCAGGGGAATTACAGTCCATCATGGCACGCAGGCATGGTGGTTGGAGGTGGCTGGAGCAGGAGCAGCAGAAGTTAAGCTCTCACATCATCACACAGGTACAGGAAGCAAGAGAGCTACTGTAGATCCAGCAAGGCTTAAGAATTCTCTAAGCCCACCCACAATGAAGTGCTTCCTCCAGGATAGCCACACCTTCTAAAACCTCCCAAAACAGCACCTCATCTGGGGACAAAATATCCAAATACTTGGAGCCTATGGGGGACGTTTTCATTCAAACCATCACACATGGTGATTAAACAGCATACCTCCTGAATGATAAATGGGTCAAAGGAGAAATTAAGAAAGAAAGAAAAGTATTCCTGGAATTAAATGAAAAGGAAAATAAAAAATGACAAAACCTCTGGAACATGCAATGTGGTACTAAGAGGGACATTTAAAGCTCTAAGTGAAGCTCTAAGTGGCTACATTAAAAAAATCAAAAAGAACACAAATAAATGACTTAACATTGCAACTCAAGACACTTGAAAAGCAACAACAAACAAAACCCAAACCCAGCAGACAAGAAGAAATAACAAAAATCAGTACAGCCAGGGGCTCCTCCCAAGCCCATGTGACCCCTGAGTAACAGATCCTCAAACGACCTTAAGCTTAAAAGTAAATTGGTTTATCTGGGCAAACTGTATGGTCTTAAATACCCAAAAGGAAAGTATAACCAAAGAGTAAAGTGATCAGTATATTTTTTTAATAAGAGACCATGTGTATAGCTGAAGGTTACATACAAGAAACAGTGCCAGACAGGAGATACCTTCCTTTGAGTTGTTGGTCAGTGTGGCGCAGGAGACTCCCAGACAGTAACCCAGCATAGAACTGGGAAAATGAACAGCAGACCCCAGGATCTTATCTAATGGAATGTTGACAACTGTATGCTGCTAGATGAGGAAGAGCTGATCTTCCTAAAACAAGGAACTCTAAATAGGCTGTCTAGACTCAGTGGATGAACTAGCATTGGGGGACAGCTGGGGGCACTGATAACACAGCGGACAGTAACAGGGATGACAGAGTATATGGGCTTCAGTGTGGGAGGGAGGGAGGTATGGGAGGGTGCCATTGGGGATGCAGGTATAAATATGAGTAAGATGGTTTGGGATGTTCTGTATGAAATACACAGAAAAATCAATAAAATTTCTGAAAGTCTAGTTCTTGCTTTGCTTTTAGCTTGGAATAGCACTTCCATTCAGTTTTATTAGAGAGAATAATTTAACCAATTGAAATTTCAATACCCTTTCCTATAATAAATTGGTAATCTCCCATGGAATGCTAAAAGGAATGCTGTTTGGATTATAAAGTGAATTTAGCATGATAGTGTTCATGTTGGTAATACTGGAATATAATAGTTGTTCTCTTATTTATTCTTTCCTAGTTGTTGATTGTCTTATATTGGACTGTTACTGTATTGCAAAATTATTATTCAAAATCTCTCACTGAAAATATGAATAGATTCAGACTGAATGTATAATTATTGTAAATGACTGTTAAAAGTATTTGGCTAGAACCATGTGTATTAGTTTTAAAATAATTTTGTAAGAAACAGTTTGATTCCCAGAATTGTTTTTTCCATAAACTGTGAAGATGAAGTATTGAAAGGATTATGTTACTGTTTTATGTAGAGGCTATACAGTATTTTAACATATGAAACAGCTAGCCTGGAACTCACTATGTAGACCTGGCTGGCCTTGATCTCACAGAAATCTGCCTGCCTCTGCTGAGATTAAAGCATTGTGTCACCATATATGGCCTACGAATTTATTTTTTTAAAAATATTTTATTTTTATTTTATGTGTATGCGTATATTGCCTGCATGTAGGTAAATGCTCCCATGTCGTGCAGTGCCCGCAGAAGACAGAAGAGAATGTCTGATCCCCTGGAACTGGAGTTAGAGACAGTTGTTAGCTGCCATGTGGGTACTGGGTTTCAAACCCGGGTCTTCTGCAAGAACAGTGTTCTTAACTGCTGAGCCATCTCTCCAGCCCCAAGAATTTATTTTTTATATTTTACATCCGCTAAAAGTGCTATAGTAGTAGTTTTGATGGTTTGAATAAATACTTCATCTTGGATGTCTTAGTGAAAATATTGAGTTGTTGGAGGAGTAGATTTTTTCTTCTAAAACTAGTGTAGTGCTTGATTAGCGAGCACTGTATTCACAATACTGAGAAACAACTATTAAGCATTCCTTTGCAGAATTATTTAGTAGGGTCTAGTTCTTTTTTACCATGAAGAAAAAAAAAGGGAATTTAAAAAATGAATTTCAGTGTATGTTTTAACTTTTCTCCAACAACCAAATTTAAGCAAATCTTCACTCTTAGTTTAGTTTGATGACTGAATAAATGAGTTGTTATGAATTTCCCAGTCTTACTTGCAGAAGTGAAAACTTTAAACTGAACCCGAAACTCATGTCCCTCTTGACTTCTGATGCAATGATAGATCTGAAACTTCTTAATTTGTAAGATCGTTTGGTAACCTTTAGATTCAAGTTAGTCTATAACTTCTAGTAATTTCCCTTTCAGAACTCAAAAGTAATAATGGATAACCTAAGGAAATTCTCCTTAATAAAACATCAAGACTTTTAGAGTTGCGAATAGATATTGAAGTTAAGTTAGGGTTTAATTTTGAGTCATCGGAACCAATGTGAATATGCAATTCTGTCATCATCTAAAGGAAGATATATACTTCATCTATATGCAGCCATATTCAAATATGTGTTTAGAGGTTTTAACTAACGATGGACTATTTTCTTTGCCTTGAAGAATGTTTTGATGTGTTTGAAGTTGGATTTATTGATGTTATTTCTGACTTTTAGATAGTTACATTGAGAAAGATTATACTTACTATATAAGCCAGTTAGTGCTGATAATCTTGGGTTATGTTTAAAATTATTTTAAAATTATTGATATTAGATTCCTTCTAAAAATCCGTTTTTAATTCATAATTTATATCTTAGTGTATATTTCATTCAAACAATTTTGAAATACTTATAATTGTTTTTAGATATTTTGAACAGAGTTAACCCAAGCTCATATTCAAGGGGAATAAAGAATGGTGCACTCAGTCGAGGTACAGTATTATTGTATTACTGTAATTTTAAAATGAGATACTTTGTTTTGACAAAGTAGATTATGTAGAAATACATTCAATATATTATATAATTTCAAATTACAGGTATTACTGCTTCATTCAAGTCTACAAGTCAACGCTACATGAATCCAACATCAAATCCAGTGACTGCCTCACCAGTAAATTTTCATCCTGAATCTAGATCTTCAGATAGCTCTGGTATTTTTCAGCCATTTTCTAAAGCTGTAAGTGTTTTTGAAACTACATAGTTAGCTCAGGGATTATTGATAATACCCAGTTAAATTTCTGGATTACCCACAAATAGTCATCTAGTAGTAGCATAAGAGGCATCAGAAATCGCCATCTTTATGATAGCTTAATTAGTACCCAAAGCAACAACTAACTGCAAGATTCTAGTATCCAGTCTTTAAGTAAGCCAAGGAATATTTTTAAATTGATTAGGTATAGTTTTGAAAACCAGATTGTCACAACACAAATATAAGTATTATAATAAATATTGCATAATAGCAAAATATTTAAGATTGCAAACCAGGCCAGGCATTCTTAACTGGGAAATTATTGAGAGGCTATCATAGCTTTTTTAGCTTTTTATTCTGAGAAGTGTACCTTCATACTTTAGTTTAGAAATACTTAGTAAGAAGTAATAGTAATGGTAATATTTATCATTTATCGGGATAGTAATATTCCAGTAAATATTTGTGGTAAATGCTCTACATAAATTAATCTCATTTAATTCTTAGATATCCTTATGCAGAAGGTATTGTTACTACCCCTATTTTATAGTCGAGGAAACTGAGGCACTTACATACATGCAGGTAAATTACACATAAAAAAATAGAAGTAATTAAAAAAATTTCCAGTCCTTAATGAAGCATTATAAGGTATTAAACATCAATTTAAGTATTAAACTTACATTAATGTTACTTTGTTAGCTCTACCCTTGAATATATGTCTTTTAAAATATTCTGTATGGTGAAATGGGCAGTATACATAAGGCACTTCTATGTCTAAAGGTATGATTGTCTTAAGGAAAAGCATTAGCATGATTAACCTGTGAACTCAACTACCTGCTGTATTTTAATTGAACACTATTTTTACTTGAAATGATGACTGACAAACCATGCTATCTTAATTATTTCTTCATATCACTATTTCCATAAGCTTATGTGACTTAAAACAACACACACTAATTATTGTATAGTCTTACAGTTTCTGTGGTTTGGAGGCAGATCATAGCTTACCTAGATCATCTACTGTAAGGTCTGACAGGCTGCATTCAAGATGTCCTCGAAGCAGTCTCATCTGAAGTAGACTGAGTCTCAATATCTTGCTGACTTTTGGTTCACTTCTTGCCAGGTGGGTCTTCCCAAAATGGCTGCTTGCCTCCTCAAAGCTAGCAGAAGAGAATTCTTAGCAAGGTGTTATTGTGGTCTTAAAGAAAAATAACCTTGTACATAAAATCATGTATGTCCTGTCACGTTTACTGTATTCTGTTGTTTAGAAGCAAGTCAGAGGTCCTACCCACATTCAATGGAAGGAAATCACACAGAGTATGAATATCAGGAGATGAGATAAGGAAGGCCCCTTGGACCTTATCTGCCACATGCAGTTATTCAGTCCTGTATTGCACAAATTTTCTCAAAATTGAGCAGAAGTGTACCTGCCACTTCATGGAAAACAGCTGATAGTAGTATTCTTGCCAGTGACAAAACTTGAGCTCTCAAGCAAACATTAAAAATTTGAAAGGCTTTGATCTACCACTCTGAATGTGGCAGCTTCCTAATATGTCAAGACTTTTCTGATGGGTGATGGTTAATAAAGACATGAATTTTTTTGATGATTTATTATTAATTATGTCAATATTTGAAATAATTCAATGAAACTAATAGTTTCCAAATAACCAATGTATATGTTACTAAAATGTGTATGGGTAAAAGATCTAGAAGGTGGACCAGTAATGGGACAGGGGTACACAAAGCTGACAGATAAAAAAATTTCAGATTTCAGAGTGGTACATCTTAAAGAAAGTACCATCTGGTGAATTTTGGCATAGGATCAGAGTATTATAGCCACAGTTATCATTAATATTACTAAAATATTCCTCTCAATTACACAGTGTCATGAATCTGTATTTTCTTTTGAGAATGTAGCTCAGTTGTTGGAGTGGTTGCCTAGCACACCCGAAGCTCTGAGTTTAATCTCTTGTACCATAACAAACTGGACACATGCCTGAAATCCCATTACTTGAGGAGGTAGAATTAGGAGTTTAAGGCCATCTTTGGCTGCATAGTGAGTTTGACACCAGCTTGGGCTACATGAGACCTTGTCTCAAAAAGTAAAAATAAATTTCAAAGGTGAAAAACAGTATTGATTTTCTACTTTTTATGTATTTGCAAGTAATTTTTATAAAAATGCTGTTTATGCTAATATACAATGGATTTACTGTTATTTTTTAAAAGAAACAAAAACAATATTTTTCTGTTTTAATTTCTAGTGTGGTAAATACCAATAAATTTAATCAACATCAAAAGTGTTTTTTGGGTTCAGTTATTTTTAAATATGTAAAAGACTCTTGAAGCCAGAAAATTAGGTTAGCAGTGCTTGGAGAAATAGAAATAAATTTCCTTAAAGTATTTCTTCTTTAGACAAAAATAGCAGTAAAGGGGGACCACCCAGTTTCTATTTGGGAATCCTATAAGGTTCCAAAGGCTATTATTTATGTTTTTAAACAATGTAATAAAATGTTCCTGAAGTGAGGTTTCAGAATGCCTCTCAGAATATAAAAATCTTTTGCTATTACTTGGAATCAAATTAACTTTTTGGTTTTCTTGTAATTGTCATTAATTGTTTGGTATTTAGTGGTTAAAAAAATAGAAAGAGAAAACTTGACGAATGTAGTTAGATAAAAAATCAACATTAATCTCAGAGGAAGAAAAATAACAAAGGTAAGGGATCGTATTTGAGCTTTTATAAAAGTTAGAAACTACAACCCTTTTCAATTCAGAATATTTTATTTCTGTGGACAGTTTTAAAATCAAAGCACCTCAATTGATGGTTTCTAATATTGGGATCTTTTAGGAAAAGAGCAGGTTTTCCAGTTGGTTCTTAAAGGACCTTGAAATCATACATTTTTAGAACCTGTTATTTGCTGTGGAGTCAGAGCTAAGAATAACAGACTTTGTATACTGTAATGAATTGTCTTATTTATGGGGCTTTCCCCTTGAATGTTGGAAGCTACTGGTCTTAATAAATTATTATTTTTATTGGTTTTAATAAATTGTAATTAGTGTTTAACATTTTATGTCATGTTTTGTGTGTGTGTGTGTGTGTTTACTTTTTCTTGGAATACCTTTGTATCTCAACACCTCTTTCAGGTAGGCAGTGATGGAATATATTACTGTTAATATCATTGATAAAGTAAATATGATATGTGGCTTATAGGCAGGAGTTTTATGTAATTCCTCAGACTTGGGTTCCAATTTAACTCTGTCAGTAACAAGTGTTGCTCTATTTAGTCTTCCTTAATTACACCTAACTTTAGTTTACCTATTTATAAAATATGGAATAATAGTAGGTCTTTATTAGTACTGCTGTGCTAACTACTTGATACACATTTTCTATGAAAAGCGATACTTTTAACATGCACAATTGTGGCTATTATTTCTGGTTGAAAGGTGAATAATGTGATGCTCAGAAGTGATTTATTCAAGGGTATATGATTATATAAATGTGTAGATCTTCTAATTCTGTTATAGTACCTATCTTACCCACATTATTGCATTTAACAATACAAGGTTTTCAGGTGCCATATTGTTATTTTGACTTTTATAATAGACATTAAAAATTCTCTTTTTGAGAATTATTTTAATGAGTTATTTGTTGACTAATGGGTTGCCTTCTCTGCAATATTGTGGGTACTTAATTAACCAGAGTTGCTGGGAGGTATTCAACCGGATTATTATAGTGTTGTTAAAGAGGTGGGTTTGGGAGGGGGATGCAGATGAATATTTTCCATTTTTTAAAATGCAAATGTTTGGAGAAAGTATTTACTTCAGCAAAGTATGATTGTGCATATTGTGCTTAGTTTCCACTAAGTCATGGAGTTAGTGTTGTTGTTAGTTTTTGTTTTTGTGTTTTTGGTCTTTTTGAGACAGGGTCTCTGTGTAGCTCAACTGGCCTGGAACTCCCTATGTAGACCAGGCTGGCCTTGAACTCACATAGATCCGCCTCCCAAGTCCTGGGATTAAAGGTGTGTGCCCCCACCCTCAGCCTCATTTTTTTTTTTTTTTTTACTACTGTATGTGAAGGCTTGAATGCCCACATCTGCCTTTTAGGGCTCAAACTCTAGATGTGGTTTTTGTTACAGTAAGTTGTTTCTGTCTCCTCCTAACAGTCTTATGCTGGTGCAGTTAATAAGAAAATGAAATTATCAAAATTTAATTATCCCTCCATTTATAAGCACAAAATAAAACCCTTATGTTTTCTATAAAAGAATATATATTTTGGGAGAACAGTTTAAAAAAGAGAGGAGTGACTTGATATAAGTGTATACATGCTTATATTGTATGTGCCAACACTATTTCCCCTTTTTCACTGAACAGTCTATGAGGAACATGCCATATTTCTCAAAAACTTGGTAGTAATGACTACATGACTGAATGATTTCTACATTGTTGGACATACAGATTACAATTTTTTGGCTGTTATAACTAATTCTTCACTAAATTTTCATTTCTTTTCTGTAAATTTTTCAAAGTAAAATAGCTTGATCAAATGGCCCTTTTTGAGACTTTAATAGCTCCTTCCTGGTAAATTTTTATGTAGACATTAAACCAAAATGCAACTTCTGTTTTGCCAATAGTCAATATTATTATCATGTTTTAACTTTTGACTTTATTAAAACTGATAAGGTCTTACATTAAAAAGTAGTAGAGAGTCCCTGTATTCCCCTCCCCATTTTTTTTTTTTTTTTTTTTTTTTTTTTTTTTTTTTTTTTTTTTTTTATTTTTTTTTTTTTTTATTTTTTTTTTTTTTTGTCTTTTTGAGACAGGGTCTCCCTGTAGCCCCAGCTGGCCTTGAACTCACTGAGATCTGCCTACCTCTGGGATTAAAGGCGTGCACCACCACGCCTGGCATCTCCCTCCCCAATTTTAACCAAACTGCAGAGTTGTTATTAGAATTTGGCCAGCTTTTCCACTGATGTTCTTGCATCTTGTTCTTGATCTTACCTTGTAGTTATTTCTTCTTAGTTTCTTGATATTTTCACAGTTACCTTTTTTTTGCCTTTTATGACCTTGATACTTAAGCATAGTGACTGTTGTAATACATATCATTTTTAAAACAATGTCAGTTCAGTTGTTAAACATTGTTTTTATTTGCATCTTTTTTGTCCAGTAAGTTGGAAAAAGGGCATACTGAATATTTTTGTCACTAGTGTCTTCATTTTGAGTCAGTTTTGATTATTTTTCTGTTAAAGTAGCTGTCTTTTTTGAAACAGGGTCTCATGTAGTCCAGGCTGACCTTTAACCTGTCCTGTAGCCAAGGATGGCCTTGAACCCCCATCCTCTTCTTTCTACTGCCACAGTGCTGGGAGTACAGGTGTGTGCCACCATGCCTGACTTTTCTTTCCTTTTTGACTTTTGTTGTTTTGAGACAAGGTCTCCCTGTGCCTGAAAATCACTGTGTAGACCAGATTGGCTTTGATCTCATAGAGATCGCTGCCTCTACCTCCCAAGTGCTGGGATTAAAGATGTTCTCCACTCCACCTAGCCCTTTTTTCCTTTTTGATTTTAAGCATTGTTTATCTTAAAACCTGCATACTGTATATTTTGACATGTAGAATGGTCTAAAAGTTACTCAGAGGTTTCCACAATTCTTGTTTCTTATAAATAGCATTGGATCATTTGTGTCCAAATTATGTTGACCATACCTTTCATAATTATTCATATTAAATATGCATATACATACATGTAAATTTATGCTGCTTTATTCTTTTTGATTAATCTCATACTTCTTACCACTCTTTTTAATTTCTTCCTGCTAACTTGGCTAAAAATTCCTTTGAGCCTCAGGTCTCCAGGAGTAGGGTTATTGGCTGAGCTATCCTATAAACAACTTGTATTCTAATCCTGATCTGATTGGCATTACTTATTGAACCAAAGGCCCAAGTCGCTTTGATATTTGCCATGTGACATTGGACATTTCTTTGGCCTAGTGTGTAGGATAAGTTTCTGTGGGATAATTAGAAGACTAAGAGGTCTGTGACAGTTTTTTTTTTAATTAATTTTTTTTTTTATGTATACAAGTGTATTGCCTACATGAGTGTAAGTGTACCTGTGTTGTGCAGTGCCTGTGGAGGTCAGAAGAGGGCATCAGATCCCCTGGAACTGGAGTCACAGATGGTTGTTACCTGCCATGTGGGTGCTGGGAATTGAACCTGGGTCCTCTTTAGGAGCAGCCAGTGCTCTTAACTGCTGAGCCATCTTTCCAGCCCCTTACGTTTCTTTTTGACCACAGGTTATAAATTTCTCCAAAAACTATGTGTGGAAAATTTAATTTCATGTGAAAATTTAATCCTTAATAGTGATATACAATACAACAAATGACCTGATATTTGGGAGTGGGATTTTAAAGTTATAGAAGCTTTTAATGTTTCACATTCATGTCAGTATGTTTCCATATTGTCTTTCTGGTTTATGCCCAGAGATTTTATTGAGTTCTGTTATTTACTTCTTGATGGTAATACATTTTCAGAGTCGCACAACCATGTATCAGTCTTACTGATATAAATGAGTTTGTGCTTTTTTACCTTGAAAACATTGTATTAGAATTTGCTGCACACCTATCAGTTTTAGTTGAGCAGTCAGAATAAAGAAGCTCTATTTAGCGTGCTTGCAATTTTGGTAGGTGATAATTTTGCCTAACTGGTAATTACCTTTGGGTTTTTGGTTAATTCACTTGTTAAAAATTGAATCATCAAAGGTTATCTTTAGGATTTTTGATATGCAATTAAATTTCCTTTATACGTGTTTGTAAAACAGAATAGTTAAAACCTTATCAAATAAGAGTAATATTCTTTCTTCAAATTTAACAGGGTTATATAACAAACTCATCACAGGTTCTGTCTAATAATTCTTCAGAGTTACTGTTTGACTTGACCCAGGATACAGGATTATCACATTACCAAGGGGGACCAACACTTTCTGTTACAGGTGAGTTTTGTTAGTTTTTTCCTTAAAATGATGACATGAAACTTGATGAATATGCATATGGAATTGATTTTATGTTTTAAAACTCATTCATTTATTGTAACGTGGGCTGATGCTAATAGTTTTTGAATGCCTTTCTGAGGTGATTTTATGTAAAATCTTGACTAAACCACATTGTACTCTTCCCATAAAGTCAGCCTTAAACTTAAAATAATGCCTGTGAATTAGAGAAGTCCTCAGATACCGTAAATATTAAGAAAAATTGGTTTCTGTGGCCACTAATAGGAAAAAGTATTTGTGGCATGCATTAACCGCTCCCTCCCAAAAATCCAATTTTTGTTTGTGTGTGTGTGTGTTGTTTTTTTTTTGTTTTTTTTTTTTTTTTTTTTAAGACAGGGTCTCACTATGTAGCCCTGACTGGCCTGGAACTCACAGAGATCACCTTCCTCTGCCTCCTGGGTGCTGGAATTAAAGGCCTGCACCACCATGCCAGTATAGCATGCATTTTAAGTAGTTGTGGTGGTATGAGCCTATACTCCCAGTACTGATAGGCTGAAACTAGAGTCACATTGCCAGTTTGAGGCCAACCTGTAGTACATGGTCAGACTGTCTCAAAAAAAAAAAAGCAAAAGAATGATCTACACATAGTAAAGCGTGCTCTTTGATGGAATAAAGAAATTTACTTATTGACAATTTAAAGTTCTTTTAGTGCATGCTGTGACAATGTTCTGGGTCTAAAATACATTAGCATACTATAGGGGAATTTTATCTCACTGAAAATTCCTTGTAATAAAGGTAGTTAATCTGTGTACACTAGCAATTTGAATTTATTCAAGTATTTTGACCAACTAAAGATTTACATAAAATTTTGGAATGTTTAGGTTGTTTACTAAATTGGTTAATGGAAAATTATCCAGACTTTCCTGCAATTTTTAATATAATAGTAAGGTTTAGAGTGCTTTTCCGTTTTAATAATACCTCATTTGATACTGCTTTGTCACATATATACTTTACTGAAATATTTACTAATGTCTTGTTAATAAAACAAGGAACAGTAAAAACAGGGAGGAAAACTGTTTGTATTAAATCAGGTGTTAAGAAACTGATAGACTTTACACATAGGAAACTACTGAGAACAGATAATGGCTTCTGTTTTCCCTCTCATGTTTCTACCTATATAGTGAGTGGAACTGTTAAAGAGGATAGTTACGAAGTTGTAGATTTGCACCTCTGTTCTTAAGAATGTTTAGTTTTAGCCAGGCGTGGTAGTGCATGCTTTTAATCCCCCAAATTCAGGAGGCAGAGGCAGGCAGATCTCTGTGAGTTCAAGGCCAGCCTGATCTACATAGCCAGTTCCAGGCCAGTGGGGGCTACAGGCAAATCCTGTTTCAAAAAGACAAAATAATAATAATAATGTTTAGTTTGAATCAAATTGTCTGACCTCTTTATACTTCAGATTTTCATATTATAAAAAGAAAAGTGAGGCTATTCATTTTTCTTTGTGTAATTCATTGAGTTCTCCATAACTAGATTGAGGCTTCTAGAAATTCCATTTTAACTCTTGCTCCACTTTACACAGAGCTTTTTTGAGCCCAAATAAGGTAAGCGAAGTGTGAAAATACATTTGTAAATTCAAGGAACTTGATTAACAAACAATTGTTATATATGATATCCATATTCTTATGTGCTAAATGTTCAGTAGCATGATTAAGACTGCTGTCTATGGAGATTATGGGGGTTTGAGTTTGATCTTGAAAGAAATTAGGGTTTTTACGGTCAGAGATAGAACTGTTTGAGGATAGAAACAGAGATAGAAGGTCAGAATTTAAAACAAATGCAGGGCCAGCAAGGTGGCTCAGTGGGTAACAGCATTTGCTTCGAGGCCTAATGACCTGAGTTCAGTTCCTGGAGCCCACATGGTGGAAGGAAAGAACCGACTCCCACAAGTTGTTTTCTGACTTCCACACAAGTATGTTTATGCACACATACACATACACACAACTAAGTACCTGTTTAAAAAATGGAAACAAATGTACAGTGGCTTTACTTATTGTTGAGATTTCTCATGTTAAATTCTTACATTACATTAAAATAATCTAATTTTTTTTTTTTACCATCTAGCCCATTTTATAATCAGTTGTTTAATTCAAAATACTAGGGCCCATTGGTCCAAGTAACCTTAGCATCTCACAAGAATGCTAATGTGGTTACACTACAGAGACTCTTTTTCCTGTGCCTTCAATGTATCTGTCTGTAATCAAGTGTTTTGAAGATGGGGGAAAAATCAATTTTATTATATTAAAATATGAGTCAGTGAAGCTAACTATTATGATACTAATAATACTTCCTGACATGTTTGCCCTCATTAAAAATACTGATAGGCAAATCAATTGGAATAATTTAAGCTATAAAATGTTTTTTATTATTATTATTTATTTATTTTATTTTATGTGTATGTGTGTATTACCTGCATGTCTGTAAGTGCACCTGTATCGTGCAATGCCCGCAGAGCTCAGCAGAGGTTGTCAGATCCTCTGAGTCTGGAGTTATGGACAGTTGTTAGCTGCCATATGGGTGCTGAGATTTGAACCCGGGTATTCTGCAAGAACAACCAGTGTTCTTAACTGGTGAGCCATCTCTCCAGCCCTAGAAAAGTATTTTTAAGATTGAAATTCCTAAATGAACAAAAATCCATGCAGAAGTCTAATAAATCAGTAAACAGTTTCTTTGTCAGATACACATGTAGTCTCTATGACGAACCTAGTAATCTCTGGGGAACACAGTGACTCCTTCTATTATATACCCTTTAGTATGCATGAGTAAAATATTATTCAAGATTAGATGTTTCTGCTTTGTACATAGCAATGAATGTGGGAAAAGAGCTAGCATTGCATTAGACGTTTTCAGTTTTTAAAAAGAAATCTTAAGGGTCTCTGAATTTGAATAAAAATTATTGTTCTTTTTTATACTTTAATACACTTAAGCATCTGAAGATAATTTGTTAGCAGGAACTTCAAATTATAGTCTTCCTTAGTAGTAGTATTTTTTGAGGCCATATTTAGAATGTTCTTGCACAGAAAGATTATCTCACAAATTGAATAGATGAAGTACATAATAAATATTTATGGCATTTCTTTACAGTTTCTGAATTTGTATCATTTTATTATTGCTGTTAGTATGGCAAATTTAACTATATTGTCTTTAAATTACTCCAAAATGTTTTCACTTAGCTATGAACAATATTCTGTTTTAAAATGTTTTCCCCATTTAAATCATTGTAGGTTTGAATGAAAGTTCATTTTCCTTTAAACGTCCTTCTGCTTCTGAAATAAACAGTGTTGATTCAAAAAAGCCTAAGTCCAGTGGAAGTGTTCCTAGAACAGATGCTTCAGCTGTGGTTCCTTCAGATAAGTCTCCTTCATTGACGGTTCCCCAGGCTCTGCCATCTCAAGGTACATATGAATTCGGGGATGTAAAAGGATATTGCTGTAGTAGTTATATATAACGTTTTAGAAATTGTTAAGTTAAAAAGCTATAAGTGGTTATTTAAGATTAAAAAGTGATGAATTTGGGAGCTGGAGAGAGAGTTCAGCATTTAAGAACATTCACTGTTCTTTCAGAGGACCTGGGTTCAGTTCCTGTGGGGTCTCTCCCTCTCCTCGTGGGTCGTTGGCTACCAGTCCACGAGGACAGGGGGAGCAGAAGCGACGAGCGGGGTCAGGACAGCCAGTGAGCACTGACAGAAGAAAGCCCTTCCGGGGAGGCAGGTTCAACGATGCAAACAGCTCCAGACTCAGTGAGACAGCTCTAGACTTAGTGAAACAGCTCCGTTTATTCAGTGGGAGAACTGGGGAAAATATAGTGTGGAGGCAATAGCCAAAGCCTCAGCTGATAGGTGCTCATAGTATGTTTTTTTTACATGTGGCAGTAGGCTCCTATTGTCCGACTACCAGGCAATGCCTGATTATCATATAGAAAAGACCTGGGGGTAGTTTTTACTCCAGGTAATTATGCCAAAGGTCATGTTCCAAATAAGGTCAGGCATCCATGCTTGGTGGCACTTTCCAGGTAAGTCAGGAAGAGAGCAGGAGGCCCTCTGCTGAGAAGGGGAGTTCTTCCATTTGGCCCCGAGCCCCTTAGAGCTATCCGGACATGAAGGACTACAACCCTAACAGCAGGGTTTCCCAACAAGTTCCCAACACCCACATGGCAACTCACAACTCTTAACTCCAGCTTCAGGGTACCCGATACACACCACTGGCCTCCACAGGCATCCCCATACAGATAAAAACACACATACTCATAAATAAGAAAAAAATAATGAAAATAAATCCTAAATAATTTTTAAGTGATGAATTTTGAGCAATAAATGATTTTAATTTGTTTTAGGTGCAGATACCTCATCAAATCAATCTAAAAATGGAACAACTTTTCCAAGAGCTTGTCCAAAGTGCAATATTCACTTCAATCTTTTGGATCCTCTGAAAAACCACATGACGGTAAAACCTTTTCAAATTTTAATTTTAAAAGTCTGCAAATCCCTAATGTTAATGACTGATTTATAGTAAGTGATGGTTTGTCCTAATAATTTAGATAAGAATTCTTCTCATTGGCATATTTCCATATGCTTAAGTGAAAATTTGCATTCATAATAATTCTATAAGGTTTTGATCAGTGGATGGACTAGCACTGGGTAACAGCTGGAGGCACTGATAACACAGTGGACAGTAATAGGAATGACAGAGTATATAGGCTGGGCGGGGGGAGGCTATGGGAGGGTGCCATTTGGGATGTGGGTATAAAGATGAATAAGATTGGGATGTTCTATATGAAATACTCAAAAAAAGAGAAAAAAATTAAGAAAAAGAAAAGAATTGTAATGAAGATTATAGTAAAATAAAACAGTGGTTGAGGGTCACATATGTCTAGAATCAGGGCCCAGCTCCATAATGATAGAATGTCATTTGAATGTATGGCAAATTGGCATGTTGTATTAAAATTTAAACTCTGAAGACTTTCCTCATCTGCAAAGTGAGATTTGTAATAAGCCCTGCTAGACCAAATTAAAAACATAAGACAATATTTTTAAGTTAACAGAATTTTCTGCATTTAGCATTCAATAAGTCATAGTTGTTTCTATTTGTTATTGCTGATCATTAGTAACTAAACCTTATTTTGACTCAAAACAACTTTGTCTTTTATAAGTTTTCAATTCTTATGTTCTTGTTCACTATATGTTTCTAAATAAAATGTACTAATTACAATTTAAAAAAAGAAATTCCTTAGTTCATATATTTAGAATATATGCTTAATATCCTGATTTTAAACAAGACAATGTAATTATCATTATTGATTAGATTATATTTGTAAAGCATTTGTTCTAAGTTTAATCTTTTACAACTTAAAAGTTGTATATTTTGTTTGCATGCTCATATGTGCATTTCATATTACATAATGAAAATCTGAGTTTTCCATTTTAATTATCAATATTCAAATATAAACTTCAAATGTTGAAATATTTCATATGAAATAATTGTTTCAACACTGTTTAGAATATAGTTTGTATAGTTCTTAAAATTAGTTTAAAATTTTTATTGGGATGGAAAGCTTTTGATTTAGATTTTAAGAAATTTCAAAGCACTTATAACATTTAGGTGACAGTTCTGCTTAAAAAAGTTAGATATTACTGCTGGGTGTGGTGGCACAGGCCTTTAGTCACAGCACTCAGTAGGCAGAGGCAGGCAGATCTCTGTGAGTTCAAGGCCATCCTGGTACAGAATGAGTTCTGGACCAGCTGAAGCTACAGGTTCTCAAGAAACTGTCTCAAAAAGACCCAAAAAAAAAAAAAAAAAAAAAAAAAAGATATTACTATGCTCTACTGTGTCTGCATTAAAGATGTTCTATAATTTCCTTGTTCCTATTATACGTGGCAGGAAAGGGAAGAAAACAAAAATGACAGGACATTTTATAAATAGAGAAGGAAAGAAAATAGTTCATTGGCAATGAGGAAGAGTTCTTATTATTTCAGTGACTGATAATTTTTTATTCAGCAATTTTAAAACAACAAAAACCATGAAGGATTCACAAGGCCTCACCCATCCCTGAGCAGCTATTGCCTGTTGATGGGGGAAGGTGAGACATTTTCATCAGTGGTATAGCCACTGCTAAGTTACCCATGCTCCTGTAAATAACTCTCACTCGTATTCATGAAAGCAACCCTAACTAAAGTTGCTGAGCCCCCCACCCCCACCCCAAAAGAACAAGAAAACAGAAGGAGACCAGTTGGGAGTGGAAGCAGGGAACAAAAGAGGGCAATGTAACAGGTGTTGAATATGATCAAAATATATTATTAAGCTGTGTGTGGTAGTATGCACCTTTAATCCCAGCACTCCAGAAGCAGAAGCAGGATATCTTCGAGACCACAGCCAGCCTAGTCTACTAGCAAGTTCCAGGCCAGTTGGGGCTACAGGAAGACTCTGTCTAAAACACAAATATCCCACATTATATGCACATATGAAAATGTCATAATGAAGCCTCTGATTATGTATAAGTCATATATGCAAAGAAAAAATAGGGACACTTAAAAAATGTTTAAATGTCTCTTTATTCATGTACAGAATTGTAGTTGACTTGTACCAATACTTTAGCTCCCAGAATGTAGCCTCTTTTTTGGAAAACTATTCCTGTACAAGTGCTTTCAACTTTCTATCTCTTTGTATTGTTTTGATGAGACATATGATGCTTTCTGTGTTTTTCATTAGAAGTGGAGGCAAAAAAAAAAGGGGGGGGGGAGTTCCTTAGTTTTTCTCTTAAACATTTTTTTTATTGTTTTTATTTTGTGTGTCTGAGTGTATTGCCTGCATGTGTGTAAGTGTACCCATGTTGTGCAGTACCCACAGAGATCAGAAGAGGGGGTTAGATGCCCTTGGAACTGGAGTCGCAGATGGTTGTTAGCCACCATGGGGGTGCTGGGAATTGAACCCATGTCTTTTGTAAGAGCAACAAGTGGTCTTAACCGCTAAGCCATCTCTCTAGCCTAGTCATTTATTGACTTAAGTGATATAGTCACATGATTCAAAATTAAAAAGCTTACAAATGATACAAGAATCTTACCCCTGACATTTATTTATGTGGTTCATAGTATGACTTTCAAAGAAAGTAATCTTCTATTAGTTTGCTTTATATACTCTGATTTTCTTTCTGCACTTACAGGTAAATATGAATATTATTATTTTTCCTCTGTCTTGTACACAAATTGTAGCATACTCTACATACTTCTGCTCCTGAGAGATTGGCAACTGTCATATGATATTTTGTATGTTACAGCATTATTTGTGATTACTTGTATTAGAATTAAGCAAATGTCATACAGTATTCAAGAGGTAGAGCAACACAACATTTGAGAAAGAAAGGAACATAAATAATAGGTAGTGAAATGAAATGAACTGAAGGCATTACTAAGCTAAGTCAATACAATGTGGATAACAGATGTATTTTATGCTTGCATGTATTCTTTATGTCTTATGTCTTTATGTCTTAAAAGAAATCTAAAGCACAGCCATCAAATGTAGGAAGGGTAAGTTTAAAACTGGGAAATTTTTAGGCCCAGAAAGACAAACACATCATTTATATCATGTGCAATCTAAAAAAAGTTACTCTCAGAAGTTGATTAGTTTACTTGAGACTAAGGAAGTTAAAAAAGTGGTGCATGGAGATGTGATCAGTAAGTACCATGTTACAGATAGACAGGAGTAAGTTCTTACGTTCTAAAGCACAATAGAATGAGTATACTAACAGCAACACATTGTGTATCAGAAAGAGGAGGATTTGAATGTATTCAAAAAGAAATGATTGCAGTTAAGGTGTTGGATATAATAACTGTTATTTGATTATGACCTAATGTAAAAATGGATAAAAAAATCTGGTGGTTTTTTTTGTTGTTGTTGTTGTTGTTGTTATTGCTGTTGTTGTTATTTGAGACAAGGTCTCACTGTGAAGTCCTGGCTGGCCTAGAACTCACTTTGTAGATCAAGCTGATCTCCCATTCACAGAGATCCATCTGCCTCTTCCTGCTGGAATTAAAGGTATATGCCACCATACCCAGCTCAAAACATGTTATACTTGATAAAAATACTAGAACTTTTAAAATTAAATTACTTCAGAAACTTTTCCCTTTCTAGTCTACACATTTCTGTTTTGTTTTGTTTTTTGCTTGGAGGTTGTTTTTCTGTAGCCCTAGCTGGCCAGGAACTGGCTGTGTAGATTAGGATGGCCTCAATCTCAGAGATCTGCCTGTTTTCCTCTGCCTCCTGAGTGCTGGGATTAAAGGTTTACGCACCTATACAGTTTTAAATGTCCACTAAAATTTAATATGATAACACGTTGTGTCTTGAAAAATGTTGAGTTTTGGATTTTTTTTGTGTGACTGATTCTTTTCTGTTATAGATGAATTCAAGATGACTATATCCCTCTGTCATAGAGATAACTGTGCCTCTTTCCACCATATCCAGCTGTAATGTTTTCTTTAAATGGAAAAGTAAAATTTTTTTATCATAGAAATTTAAATTTATTTACAAATGAGCACGTGCATATGTGATCCCATGCAGCCAAAAAAATTGAATAAGTAGATGTGCCCCCATATACACATTAAAAACATATAAGCACATTTTTCATTAATGGTATAATTTTACGCATTTTATTCAAATATTACAATTTTCTTGATATATTCATTAGTTAGGAATCAAGTATTCATATTAATCCTAGACATTTTTAAAAAAAGCTTTAATCTTGTTTTAATGGTTATATGGGAAGTTTTTATGGATCAGGATTGTAGAGTAGTGATTGTTACTCGACCACTCAAAGCTTAGCAGATATATTAGTTACATTTCTTTATTTTTCTTTTTAGATAGTTTATTCTTTAAGAATATCCTGCATGTATGCAATGTATTTTGGTCATACCTATCTCCCAACTTTTCCGCCAATTCCCTCAAACATACCCCATTCCCACCTTTATGTTTTCTCTCTCTCTGTTTCTCTCTCTGTAAACCACTAAGTTCATTTAGTGCCACCTATTGGAATGTTGACTGATCATCTTGACTTGATGTTGTACAGATTTTGTATCGTAGGTTCATGAGTGCAAAGGCCATGTCCTGTCCAGAAGACAGCATCTCACAGCATTCCTCCCCATCCTCTGACTCTACATTCTTTCTGTTCCCTCCTCCAAAATGTTACTGAGATTTGGTGGGGTTTGATGTAGATATTTCATTTAGGGCTGAGCACTCAACAGTCTCTTGTTCTCAACACTTTGATCAGTTACAAGTCTACATTACTTTCTCCTGCAGAAAGAAGCTTCTCCTACCAAGGTTGAGAAAAACCCCAATCTATGGGTATGAACATAAATAAATTATATGGTAGTTTGATAACATACCCATTTAGCAAAACAAGGGTAGTAGGTTCTTCCCTAGGGGCCAAGACCTCCTGAACCATTGACTTTTAACCA